GAAAAGATGTTTCCATCACTTCACTTTTAAAGTGCTAATGCACTTTGAAATCTGGACAATTTAGCTATCACCTGAGATAATAAACAATACTGATTAGCATTTATTGACTTTTCATTCACAAATCTCAAAGTTCCTCAAACTCCAGTCTTTCAGTCCTGTGCCTTATATATTGGACCACACAATTTTGAGTGCCCTGGTACAGGTACAATATGCCATAGAACTGTTTGCACAGAGGGAGGGAGTTCATGTGAATCAGGGCAAGGAAAGAATTTTAGCTTGTTCTCTGCACAAAGCATGATGGTTTATTTGTCTCATTACTTGTTACTGGGCTGGCAACAAGTTCTACTGAATACTCCCAGTACGTGGGAAGGCTAGGCGGCAGTGTGCGCCTGGGATCTGTGGCATTTTCCTCCAGTGAGCAACACCTACTTAGGAAAAAAATGGGGTCAAGCATGAATCTTTGGTGCTGAGTTTCCATGATCTACCATTATTTCAGAAAAGCAGACAGTTTTGGTTTGTGTGAGCTGTTGAGCAAGATGCTGTTTGGCCACAGCGTAATCTGTGCTACACCAGGAGGGGTGTTATGGATATTAAAAATGCTTATTAGGTCTCCCTGCCTGTCTCTTTCTGGAAGTATAAAGTACTTTTGTGAGCCATTTGGGAAATATGAAATGCTGCTGGCAAGTTACTCTCAGAATGCTGCAAATAAAATGAGGGTGCGACTGTACCCAGGGCGAGCTCCTGAATTTTGTAACTGACCCTGCAGCAGAGGTCAGTATGAATGTGGTGCTTAACATGGACCCCCTCTGGAAGTCTGGGTGAACCACACATTCAGTGATGGGTGCTCTAAGTGCCCAGGCTCTTCAGGCACCTGTTCACGTGATGCTCTGTAATTGCCACACTCTAGCAGAGTCCAGCATCATGTGTATCAGCATCCCCTCACTGAAAAATTGCAGCAGGGGGCACTTTAGCTAATTGTCATCTGGCAAGCTTTAGTTAAAGCAACCCCACCTCTGTTTTTCAGTGCAGGGATGCTGATACATGTGACACTCCAGACACTTTAATTAAAGTGCCTCTCCTACTCTTGGAGTACATGTATAAAGGCTCTTCAGGCTCAAGTGGTCACAGATTCATAGATTATAGAGTTGGAAGGGACCTAATGGATTATCGTGTGTGACCCCCTGCCTCTGGCAGGAAAGAGGACCAAGGTCAGACGACTCCAGCCAGGTGATTGTCAAGCCTCCTCTTGAAGACCTCCAAGTTAGGTGATAGGACCACCTCTCTTGGAAGCCCATTCCAGACTCTGGCCACCCTTATTGTAAAACATTTCTTCCTAATGTCTAACCTAAATCTACTCTCCACTAATTTGCACCCATTATTCCTAGTTACTCCCTGAGGCGCTCTGGTAAACAACACATCCCCAATTCCCTGCTGTCCTCTCCGATAAATTTATAGGCGGCCACAAGGTCACCCCTCAGCCATCTTTTGTATAGGCTGAAGAGATCCAGATCTCTTAACCTCTCCTTGTAGGGTCTTTCACGGAGACCACTAATCACGTGGGTGGCCCTCCTCTGAACCCTTTTCAGATCCTCTGTGTCCCTCCTGCAGTGCGGTGCCCATAACTGGACACAGTACTCCAACTGCAGCCTGACTAGTGCTGCATAGAGGGGGAGCATCACCTCCCTTGATCTTAGAACTCCTTTGAACATTTTGAGTAGCAGAGGAAAATACCTTTGGTACAGTGACTTTAAGGTACAAGATCAAACAAATAGTTCCTAACCCAGCTGCTAAAGGCAGGCCAGGAGTATGAAAACAGCAGTAGTCACAATATGACTGCATATATCTTTAAAAGATAAGGTCACATATGGGACAGGGCCTGTGCAGAGGGCAATTGAGCTGTGGAGCTGACTAATTAGCTCTGCAGTAAAACATCACTGTCTACACCTGTGGTTCTATTAGACCACAGTAAACTAATTAACTCCATCGTGGGTTAGTACTGCCAGACTCAAGTACTATCCCATGGTGAAGTTATTTATTCTTCTATAAAGCACGTGTAGGTGCTGATGGGATTGACTGGGGAATGAGGCTGCTTCAGTGCGGGGGCTGCCTGCTGGCTAGTCCTGCACTGTTGCACCCTTGGGCACCTATACATGAGCAGTGAGGCTGCTCTGGCATGCTGTAATTACAGGGCATTGGAGCAAACTTGATTAATCGAGTCTGCTGGAGTGTGGTAATTACTGCACTTCAGCAGACTCTGGTGTCTTGTCTATCAGTGTCCCTGTACTTCAAAATGGCATTCAATGAGCTTTAAAGTGCCCCTGCTGCCCTTTTGAGGTGCGGGGCCGCTAATAGACAAGATGCTCTGGGCCGCTAATAGACAAGATGCTCTGGGTGCTTTAATTAAAATGCCCCCACTCCTCCCACAACATGTGTATAAATGCCCCTTGTGCCCCAGTCAGCCCTTCTGTAGCATGCTGAACCAGGTGGGAGAAGCACCAGGGCTCCCTGCCAGCTGGGCTGCTCCACTCTGGCTCAACGTGCCACAATCCCGGGAGCATGTGCAAATGGTGGAGTTTATTCAGCTGCACTAATTGATCTTGTAGACAAACCCACAGAGTAGCTACCTTAGGAAGGTGGAGAGGCAGGGGAATACAAAGCATTGTGCGACTGACCAATTCCCTTTCATGCTCTTGGGTGAAAAAACAAAACCTAAAATGCTTCACAGGGAAATGTTCAGAATTCCTGTTTCATCCAGGTCATTTCTGATACAGTTCAAGATAATCTTATGAGGTCCCTTCCAGCTCTAATGTATGAAATCTATGAAATCTATTTGTAATGCTTCAGCATCTTGCATTTCCAATCCATTCACTTTATACAGCACTTTAAAGCCAACTGAAGTGCTACAAACATTAGGTCCATCCATGATATAAGAGTTTTATTTAACTCCTCTACATGGTTTCACAACCTGCAGATGGCTGCTCTGTAAGTTCTTGCTGTAGCGACTGCTGCCCCCCACCCCTCAATATGATGGGATTTGGTGCTCAGCTTTTTCTTCACAGCTTGCAGATTATTTGCTGCCTGACTTCCATTTTCTGCCAGCTCCCAGGATGCTGGTACTTTTACATTGCCTCTTGCACTCTTCCAGGCTTGCTTTCACCTGACTTTGTATTACTATTAGTTTCAGTATTGTGAGGATTATGCAGCCAGGGGCTCCATGCTGAAACACACTTACTTCCCTAGGTTGGATTCTTTGCCTCCATCGCAGGTTTGAAGTTGGTTATTTAGTAATGTGTAGCAATAGATATATAATGAGATATAACTTGCTTTTATGTATCTTTTATATATAACTTAGTAACAGATACATAATGCTATATATAAGCAATGGCTGAAATAGACAGAGTTCTGATTTAAAAATTAATCTTTTTTTGAATGGTGGAATATTTGGCTTTGTTTTCCATGAGTTGCACCTCTATATTTCCATTTTGCCAGTTTGCTGAGAGACTTCCGCCTTCTGGACAGTAGTTTCAGTTCAAGCTGCTAGTGGAGAGGGGACGTGCACATTTCACTCTCATCAAGACCTCACTTTTGTTCTTCCTTGCTTTGTTGTTTCCCTTAATGTAAAAAAAGAGTCATTCAGACTGAAGGTAAATGTTTGCCCTTAATGGTGTATGGAAAAATGTAAGAAGAATTCTGGTAATGGGAGTAGAATATAAACAAAGAGCTTAGAGAGAGCAGAGTAGTGTAGAGGTTTCCTGTTTAAGAAAGGAAAATGGAAAATTTAAAATGGCCACTTATGGAAATGTAGAATAAACCTTCTACAGTTTAATGGAAAAGAGGAAAAATTTGGATCATATGCTTGCAGGAGTGTAAGGTATTTTAATGCAAATGCTATTGCAAACAGTGGCAAGAAAAGATCTTTCTTGCACTGGTGGGAAAAGTAACCTTTGCAGTGCTTAGAGATTTATGCTTTCCATAGGAATAATGTGAAACTGAGTATAAGGACTTAACAGTTCAGTAGAGAGAAAATAAACATAACAGTTGCACCGCTACCAACACTTGAACAGGCAAGGAAAACTGAAATGGTTATTTTAATCCAACCTCCCACCCCACCCTGCCATTACTGCTCTGAAGGAATGTCTCAGCTGTGCTGGGTGCAATCCTGGGCCTATTGAAACTGGTGGGAAAACTCTCAGGCTGGGTACAGATGTTACACTTTTACCAGTATAAGGGATCAGAAGCTGGTCTATACCCGTAACAGAAGAGAAGTTCAGCACGCAGACTGGTTTAAAAATGGCAGAACCCAGATTAAGATTTGCCCCCTGCAAAGGACTCGTGTATTTTGTTTGCTACCAATCTAAACTATGCCACTTACAGAAAATCACATAACTTAGATCGATTTTGCCTTTTGGCTTTGACTTTTTGAATGTCTGCATCAAGCCTACAGTAGGGTCAGGATTTCTCTTTCTTTTGTACAGAAGTAGGGGCAATCTATTTAATGTGTTGAAGTGACCTGGTTTTTGACAGTCAGGGTGTATTTTGTGTTTCAAGATAGTATCCACAATGTTTTACTTGTCAACTATAGTGTTTTCAGGAGGAGAAAGAGCATTTTCTTTTTCTTTCATTCAAATGTATGTGCTCTCTTATACACCTCTGCTAATTTAGTTTTATCAGGAATTACTGTATACCAAATCATGAACCTAGCTTAATGGAAAAGAAACAGAGGCAACACTACTGCAAGTTTTTTGCTGTTTCCTGGAGCAGTGTTGTTTGCGGTGCAGGGCAAATTTGCTTACAACAACATCATGGTAGAAAACCTGACCTAAACTTCCCTTTATTACAACGGGGCCAGAATTTCACCTTGTGAATTGGTATCATTAGGCACTGGCACCATGTAGGGAATAAGTCTTCATGTAATATTGTGTGGTGGAACTGTGTAAACATATTACAATGACTTGTCATGATGCACATACAGGAATGTGAATGCTTTAAGAGATCATTACACCCTGGGGTTGCAGGACTGAGCCCATAGAAACACTGCAATGCAGAGTGATGATAATGATGCTGTTTCTCCAACTTACATCATTTTCAAAGTGGCAAACTGTTGTGTAACAATCAGGTGATGAAATCAAGATGATCCTGTACAACGTTTGGGCAGATGGTAGATTTAGAGCCTGTTACTGCAAGATGCTCTGTGTGTTGAGAAGATGCAGAGTGCTGTCACTTTTCAGTGGTTGTTCAGGACCCACATTGCTTGGTTCTAGGCATTGATGGTTGGACCACAACAGTTTCAGTGTTAAAGATAGTGCCAGATTCATCACAGAGCAAAAGCTTTTAAAAGGATGCCTGTAAAGATGAAGATATGACCCTCAGCCTGTATAGACTCAGGATGCTTGTTTGCATAGGTGTATACATCTGAGAGGAACCCAGTACATAATCAATGTCATTCTTAATTTAAGTACCATGTGAGGCCCTTGGCAAAAACCTCCCCAGGATCACTACGTCAAAGGCCATGTCAGAGAAGCAGTGCCGACGACCTACATCCCTAGTGATATTAATATGAGGACATTCCACCCATTTGTTTAGGAGGATCTGGTCATTTCCATTTCACTGAGAGAACAAGACAGAAGAAGTTTGTATACACAGTGCCAAGATGAAAATGACTTTAGCACAAAGTTTATTTAACAGATCACACAAATTGTATTTTCAAGCCTCTGCTAACAAGAAGGTCCTCCAGTAAGCAGTGGGAGTGCTTTAGGAAGGAATTTGCAGACCAGCGGTACTCACTATTAATTTCCCCTGTCTACAATTACTATCATTACATTCTTTAGGCACTTTTAAAATAAACTACACAATGATGTAATGTGCACAATGGAGTGGGATAGGAGAAACCCCCTCCCCCAGCATCTGGACTCTGGCCTGGTATCTTCTATGAAACATCTTGATGGCTGTAATTACTGTCATGTTATGAGAACTTAAAAAAAAAAGGCGCCACAGCTCCAAATAAAACATAAAATGGCTTTGATATAATAAATGTTACTATCATTGTTTAAAAATGTTGTGACCTGTCTGCTATAGTTTCTGAGACAGATATTTTCCAGTACTGCTGCTCTTTTTCTTTTCTTTTTTTTTTAAATTCTATTATTGCAGATAAGGATGGAGGAAAATCCTCAAGACACACTCGTTTTAAATCACCATAGCACAATGCCAGCATTGTCTCTCCTCAAGTTGAACTTTTAAATTAAAATAGGCATGATCTTTACCAGAGCTCTGAAACACTCTGTTCTACAGGCACTTTATCCCTTTTATTAGAGAACATTAATAATTCAAATGTTATGGCTTAGGTTAGTCAGACCCATTTGTCTGGTGTTGGAATAATTTAGTTGTACTGTACTGTTCTGAGCTTTTGATATACAGTATATCTAATCCTGCAGGGTTTCTGGAAGTCACTGGGTGTTTTACCTGAGTTTGAGTTTCAAGGTCAAGCATAGCATATGTGCATACACAAGTAACAAGTACTGGTAATCTCAGCCCTGAACATATATACAGACTATATCCAAACACACATTTGGAACTCAGTCCTGCAGTCTGGATGAGACAACATTTCCATGCAAGTCTATTGGAGTTTTGCCTGAGTAAGGCTCTGAGTAAGGGCTCTGAGTTACAGCTCAAAAAGTGCACACCACATAAACATACATACTTGCAAAAATACACACAACCATTCTTTTCAATGGCATTTCCATTGAGTCCTGTCTGACACTTCTTTGGACAATACTTCTCCACTGCAGTCTGCCCCATGCTTCTGAAAACATCAAATTTTCAAATCATGGGGTCTTTTTCTAGACCTTGCCTTCCCTAAAGTGTTTCTGAGTTACTGTTTCCAGCAAAGCAATGCCATATCCTATTTTTACTGAAGGCATTACTGCGCAGTCATTTAGTACTTGTATAAACAAGTAAATGACTGCGCAGTAACTGGAGTCACTGCACAGTAGTGCCACCAAACAGCTTTTAGGTGATACTGACTGTGCAGTAGGTCATTACTACTGTGCAGTAGTGTCACGCTTCCTGCCATGTGATGTTACTGCGCAGTATTAATGAGCTACTGTGCAGTCAGTGTCTCGTGAGATGCGGCTCCATCGACTTAACTAGGAGCAGAATCAGGCTTTATGTGTACATAGGGAAACATTTTGTAGAGGTACCCCACATTCTCTCTTGATCCAAAAATGGATGGAATCCTCCAGATAGACCCAAACACAGACCTGAATCTTGTTGGATCCAAATTCCACGTGCAGAGCCAATTTCTTCAACTGGCCTGTATCTTTCAGTGGGTTGAACTAGCTCTGTCTTGAAACACCACTGTGCTTTGGGGGATTTAAGATTTGGATTTTGCAGGCTAGCTCTATCTCCAGTAAAACTTAAGCTGTCTACAAAAAGTCATATCCTGGAATGGATTTCTGTCCTGCTTTCAATGACCAGTGCTTTAATCTCTGCATCCTGTAGTGGAAATTGTAGGAAGAATTGAAACTCTAACTGACGTGAATCTGCATTTAAGGAACAGGAGAAAAATGACCATTGGTCAAGTACTTTGTAGAGTTACTGGTGGCAATCATGGAGTACTGAATTAGAAGTCCCAATATATGATTTCCAGATTCAGTCATATTTCTTGTAAGAGTTATACTACTGTTCAGATTTGGGACTGATGCTTGATCTTACAGACAACTAAAATAATAGCAAATAGAGAAAGTGAGTTAAGAATGCATTTACTCAAATACAAGACAAGGTTTTTACCCCAAGTGGCACGGGCAAAAAAGTCCTACATCTTATAATCACATACAACAAAATTTCATTAAATACATTGTCTATCATTAAATTGCTGCCAAAAGCAGTATATGCTCAGCAATGGAAACCAACTATGAAGCTGTTTAAATACAGCCAACACTAAGAATGACTATAAGCTATATGGCCCATATTGGGCAAACATGGTGATGGGAACCTATCACTTTTTTTTGCAAAATATTTGTTCTTATATATATAACTATCACATTACTTCTAAGAAAAACTGTCCTGGGGCTGCTATGGCTCACCTGACAACCCAACAAATACATCATTGCCATTACATCATACACATTCCCGTTACAACGTGTCCATCACCATCATTCTTGCCTTTCACAAAGACATGCAACCTATCTCTATACCCTAAGCTTACTGCACCTCTCTTCCCCACTCCCCCATTTATTTTTCCCCCAATTCTTTCAGTTGTCACTGTCATTGTTGCTTTCTTCTCTTGTCACCTCCACTGCCTTCATCGTCATCACCATCATTATTATTGTCATTGCTCTCTTCAGGGCATCCACTCCTGAACAGTGTGTGCCAGTTTTTCCCCTTCCAGATAATCTCTGCCATCTTCTCCCCAGTGTTTTCCACTGCTTTCTTGTAGTATCCTTTCATCTCATTCAGTCCTATTTTGACAGGCATCTACTGAGAGTTCTGTGCACCTGTATATGAGCAGGTTCCACAAGACATTTCTAAAGCAGGAAATGAATTGGTCAAAGCAGGCCATTGGGGTCCCCTTCTGCTTGGACAAGTGCCTAAACAGTGCTGCTTCTCTGGTCAGGGTTGTGATCTCTGTCATCATCTTGAGGAGTACAAATACTTTCCTCCACACCCCTTTGGCAAAAGGACAGTATCACAGGAGGTAGTCAATTGTTTCTGTTTTCCATGGGTAGGTTTCCCTTGGGCAGTATGCTTTATTTCTTTGCCCCACTACGAAGCACTGTGCCTTCACTAAGAGCATGTGGCAGGCTACTGGCCAGCTCATGTCTCTGCTCTTTCTGTAGGTCCTTGTGCAACATCCTCTCCCACATGGCCTGGCATCTGTCTTTGCTGAGTAGGTCCATGGTTGATACCACATCCCTTTTCCTCACTGCCTCCTGAATTTTGAGGTGGCAATGACTCTAGTGATGGGAACCTACTACAAGTATAAGCTAGGGGAGCCCACCTGAATGAGATATATTGTAGTGCCTATCAAGCACAGTCCCCCTCACTAGGCATGTCTACATGAGATGCTTACTGCAAAGTAGTCCAATAACACTGTGCAGTAACATGCTGATCAAAAACCATGCTAATATGCTACTGCACAGTGTTATTAGGCTACTGCTCAGTAAGTGTAAAAAACCCACGTACTCTGGCACTACTACACAGTAGTGTGATTTACTCCTCATTGAATTAGTACTTGCTTAACCAAGTATTAAACCTAACATGCAGTCACTAAGGTGCATTAATGAACATGTAGATGCACCCATTGCCAACTCTTTTCCAAGTCATGGTGAGCCACAACATTGAAAACAGTTCTGCCAGAATCCCCCTGTCACCTCCTCTGTCAGCCTGGTGCATATTATTAGTGTGGCCCCATCCTCCATGAGATGAAGCCAGACCAGGTTGCCCTGTGTCTCATCTGCATATAAATTTTGGAGCATCCCAGGACATGTGACAAGAACACCTGGTTCCAGTTATGAGTGTGGGCTAATTAGGATATGGATCCTTTGTGGTGGGTATCTGGAGTACATACACAAATTGGACAGTGTTGAGCTGTGGGATCATCATGGCTTGAAATGCTGTTTACTTTGGTGGGGCCCTGCCCAATTAACCATGTGGTAAATCAGGAGCCTTTGGCTTTGGATTAATATCATGCATAGTTTGTACTACACATAAGTAGGTGCCAAAATGCTGCTCAAAATTGTGTTTATGGAGTACCTGCACTAAAACTTGCAGCAGTTTAAAAAAAAGGCAACATGCCTCAATTCTGGATAAACTAAGAGTATGGTTACTGTATGCAGATTGCTACAGCCATGTTTAATTTCAAAATTATTGTTTCCAAATTTGCTTCTCATTTCCATGTGCTCAGGGAGAGCAGGGTCTGATATGAAGGAGAGAGGGAAGGGGCTGCCAGGGGAAAAAGTTGGGGGGAAGCAGAAAGCAAAGGGCTACCTGACCTCTCAGATTTATT